CAAGCGCCAAAAGCAAGTAAAAATCAGCATTGGCGAGTGCATGTAACAGTTGGCGGGTAAAACTTTTACGAAATATAACAATGCAATGTAGTGGGAACAACAGCCCGTTTTTAAAGCGATTCACTGTTTCTGACGTAAGCGAATAAAATGATCTTTTCCGAAGACAAGATCATCGTGATTGGTTAGCTGTTCTGTCATAAGCGACAAGAGCGAATCGAATAATAGGATACAAACGGACTGATAAGTTCAGAGCATTGTGATGGCCAGCTTGTCCCTAGACACGGTTCTAATAACTTTTACCTGAGAAGATGCTGCTTCATTTCGGAAGATTAACGTTTCCCTTCTTTATTCTTCATAACCCAAGAATGTAGCGACACATACCTGGGGTTATGCCGCAGAAACGGTGCTGTGAAGTAGGCTATAGTTTAAAAGGCCGTTTCAGACAGCTCACCAGTAGCGCTTCAACGCACAAAAACACAAACAATTATGTCAAAATGCGCGGTTTTGGCGAGTTACCTTGTAAACGTAGTCTTAAATGAGTTATAAAGTCTTAAATGACCGTAAAGAGTTTGGAGAAGATATGTGTCAGATCCGCGTCATGTGCATCAGGTTTTAAAGAGACAGCGCTGATTTTAAAGTTTTAAACCCGCTGAAGTCTGTCATTGATGTAAATCAAAGAACAAAAGAAAAAGAGAAATCACTCGACTGCTCTAGTCACTGATTAACTTTTGTAGCTTGAATAAAGATGAATCTGTATAGTTTATGCATATACAACTTATAGTTTATGTGAAGATTTTTTTTAAATCACTTAATATTTCAGAGCCTATTAAATGTTAAAAATAATGGCTTTCAATTATACTGTAATGCTGAATGGCTATAATTAATTGGTAAAATTGAGGGAAAATGTATTTAATAGAGACACCAGTAGCAGTATTGGTATCAATACTTCATTAATAATATACGACTTGGTAAAAAGATGCCATTTAAACCATATTTAAAATATACTATCTTTATGTCAGGGTTTCTGCATGATTTTTAAGCTCAAATTTAAGACCTTTTTAAGAACTGCACAAATAAAATTAATACCATATGAGCGGGGTAGGGCAATGTCTACAGTACCATATTAAACTGTAAAATTACTGTAAAAAGCATAACTTACAGTTTAGATAGAAGTTTTCACAAAAACAAAAAGTTTTATAAAATGATAAACTTTTTTTCAAGTGATAAAAAAAAAAAAAAAAGTTTAATATATAGTGACGTGACATACAGCGCGCGGGCTTCCACAACTGACACACATGACACTCCGCACACACAGGATTTTTACAAGAAAGGAAAATACATTTTTCTGAGTCGTGAAACTTTTTATTTCCTAACGAGTTATGAAGATAAGGTTGAAATAATGACACAGACCAGGCTACACCACCTCATCTGCCGCAGATACTGAATCAGGACAGCGCGTTTGTCTGAGGCACTTTTCAACTAGAAGACTTCGTTTTTCTGAGGTGAGTCTTACAATTTATTATAAATAAATAGGTTCATAAATGTATAAAATAGAGTTCTCTAACTCTGGAAAAAACCCTTTTTATTATTATTATTATTATTATATAGTATTGGTCTGGTGGCCGTTGAGAGTTACCATGGCAACCTCGGACACATCAGCTGCTGGAGAGGAGAGGACACGTCTGACATGTTTCTGTTTTTCGTCAGCTATACCAAAAAAGTTCAACAACTGCATGTCTGCCCATTGAAAATAAATAATTATAAAAAATTAGCAACTGATTACCAGCACACAACCATTGATCCACGACATTGCCATGACGTCGCAGTTACAAACTGGCAACGTCACAAAGTTACGTTGTGGCGACGTATATGGGTCTTTCACTTTTCTGGTTGACGTCGTCACTACGTAACTTTGGTCACCTGATTACGTTGTAGTTACGTAAGAGTCACGTAATTTTGTTAGCTGGGTTCATTGCATGTAAAGTAAAACATTTCAAAGGTTTTTTTGTTTTAATTTTGATGATTAGAGCTTATAGCTCATGAAAGTCTAAAATCCAATATCTCAAAATATTAGAATATTTCCTAAGATCAATCAAAAAAAGGATTTGCAAAACAGAAAAGTTCAAGTTATGTAAAGTTGTGTTTAAAAGTATATTCATTTAGGCACTCAGTAGGGCTGGGCAATATATCGAATATTAGCGGTAATATCGCAATAATTTTTACGACGATGTAAAATTTGAAAATATCGTGAATATCGAATATTTAAAATTCAAGCATACTTTCTCAAAAGAACGCGCCAAACGTCCAAAAAAGGGAACATGTTATTGCGGACTGCTCTACACTCATCTACTACATGAACTCTCATGAGTGCGGTTGCCAGATTTCAAGAGTTCAAATCCCTGAATCAGAGCCTCGCTGTTACATAGATACATTTTCTTCCTGGTGTTTTGCTTATTTTAAGCAATCTGGCAACCATGCGCACGCAAACGCTCGCTCCTCATTGCGGATTCAAGCATACTTTCCCAAAAGAATGCGCCGAACGTCCAATATTGTTACCACGCAAGAGACGTGAGTTGGGGGAGGGTCTTTTTTTTTTACACATTAACGAAATTAACACTAATCTCCATTTTGCTGATGAAAACTATGACTAAAAATGTTCAATGACTAGCTTTTTTCCCCATGACTAAGACGAAATGAAGACGAGACGACAATAAGATCAATATGCCTGAATATGTTCAAGAGCAGGACGGCGGTCCCACTGAAACAGTTTCAGAGGCTCCTGGGGCATATGGCAGCTGCAGCGGCAGTCACACCGCTGGGGCTGCTCCATATGAGACCGCTTCAGCACTGGCTCCATGGCCGAGTCCCGAGGTGGGCGCGGCAACGTGGCACTCACCGGGTCCAAGTCACACTGGCCTGCCGCCAAACCTTCACCCCATGGTCAGACCTTGCGTTTCTTCGGGCAGGAGTGCCCCTAGAAGAAGGTCTCCAGGCATGCTGTGGTTCACACGGATGCCTCAACCACCGGCTGGGCGGCCACGTTCAATGGGCTTGCAGTGTCAAGGGTTTGGACGGGGCCCCAACTGCACTGCCAGCAACTCAAGGCAATTGATGTGCCAGTGCGCCTTGCCTTGATCAGTCTCAAAGGGCGCTTACGAGGCAAGCACGTACTGGTCCGTACGGACAGCACTGCGACCGTTGCGTACATCAACCGACAAGGTAGTCTACGCTCCCGTCGCATGTCACAACTCGCCCACCACCTCCTCCTCTGGAGTCAGAAGCATCTGAGGTCGCTTCGTGCCATTCACATTCCTGGTCTGCACAACTGGGTAGAGTAGACCTGTTTGCCTCTCCAGAAACTTCTCACTGCCAGTTGTTTTACTCCCTGCTGAGGAACCGAGACATTCCGCAGAGAGGAATCACGAGTTAACTCATGACAATCATGCGATTAATCGCAAATATACAGACAGCCCTAATATATATAGATATATAATCCCCCCCCCCCAAAATTTGCAAAATTAGCTAAGAAATACCTGTGTTCCAGCAACTAGCTCCTCATCTGAGGGGGTTTTTAGTACCAGTGGGAACATAGTTTCATGCCACAGAGCTTCTCTTAAACCAGAGACAGTTGACAGACTTGTTTAACTAGTAAAAAAAAAAATACTTATCCCAGTTTAATTATTTCCCCCAGTTGCACAGTGTAAATTGTGAATTGCATGCACCAAAAAAGGTGACAGAATGCACTTTCTGTACTTGTTTTGCGCTAGTTACATATACATGTGTTCATTTAATAAAAAGCAGTAAGCGATCACGTGGTCTAGATTTTTTTTAACTGTTTAAATTTGCACTAAACATTTTGTATTTACTTTGTAACAATAGCTGTTCTATCTGAATTGTTTTTGTTGTTTTTTTAATGGGGACAAAAGAAAATCATGCTTTTTTATTATTTAAAAGCAAATGCAAACATATCAAGATATATATTGAATATCGTAACAAATTTTACAATATCGAGATATAAAATGTTTTTATATATCACCCAGCCCTAGCACTCAGTACTTGGTCGGGGCTCCTTTAGCATAAACTCCAGCATCAGCCTGTGGCACTGCTGAGGTCAGGCATATTGGCTGGCCAATCAAGCACAGTAATATCATGGTCAGCCAACATGCCTGACCTGAACCCCATATGGAATCTATGGGACATTTTCAAGAGAAAGATGAGAAAGTCAGTCCAACAATACAGACAAGCTGAAGGCTCAATAGTGCCTCAGCAGAGCCACAGAGACCTGTAGCAGGCATCAAATTTGAAATTAGCTCATTTTGTGCATAAAATTGTAAAATTTCTCAGTTTAAACATTTGTGTTATCTATGTTCTATTGTGAATAGAATATTTGCTCATGTGATTTGAAAGTCTTTTAGTTTTCATTTTATTCAAATTTAAAAAACATCCCAACATTTCCGGAATTCGGGTTGTACAATTCTCTACCATATTTACTATGCTGCGCGCAAGTTCAGATAACTCAAAAACTTGCGTACATGAACTGAGACCAGACGTGATATTTGATCGTAGCCACCGCTCATGTCCAAGTTTTGCGTAGAAATGACCATACACCAAATTTTCTGTCGTACGTTCGTTTCGTAAATGAGGCCCAATGTGTCTTACATGTTTCAAAAATATTTTTAATTATTATGTGTTGTTGTTGTGCGACAAATGACAAATTCCTTGTGTGTCACTTTAGGTCTGGATTTCGGTCACAGGTCGCTACTGTGAGGAGCACGGAGCGAGGAACGAGGAGACCAGGAGTACAAAACAAAGGAGTTTAATTCTTTTTTTCAGGGAATCACACATAGCACAAGGAGTTGACAAACACAATTCCAGACAAAGAGACTCAGAACGGGCAAGAACTAAATAGGGCAGATAACGAGGGGCAGACAGGTGAGGAGGATAACTTATAATGAGACACACCTGGAACAAATCAAACTACATTAGGATAGGAACAGGAAGGACCAAATAAGGAAAACAGGAACTCAACGGGAACCTACACGTGACACCATGACACTGCGAACAATCACAATCGTAATAGAAATATCTAGGGATGCACTGAAATTAAAATTCTTGGCCGAAGCCGAACGAAATTAATTTCTTCAGAATGAGAAGGCAGATGTGATTTCAGAACAAAAGCTTGAGTGAAACTCGTCCCGCATTGATCACAGCTGTAATGTTTCTCTCCGGTGTGGATCCTCATGTGATTCTTGAAATTTCATTTACTTGTTAATCTCTTCCCGCATTGACCACAGGTGAAGGGCTTCTTCCCGGTGTGAACTCACATGTGAATCTTCAGACTTGATTTATATGGGCATCTTGTTTACACTGTGGGCAGGGGACAGATTTTTTTTTTGCTTCTTGTTTTCCTTTCTCAGGTCTAAAAGAAACATTAAATCATGTTAGTTTTCAAATGAGAAAGAAAGTGAAGCCCAAAGTCAAGATCACTAATGAGTGCAAGACTCATTTCAATCCCATCAAATCACTAGTTTGGTCATGAAACTCTAGATGGCGCAGGCTTGACATGTAATCTGTAAGCAATCACCTCGTTTACTCCACAACACAGGCTTCTTCAGCATGATGAATGAGGAATGGAGAATAAACACCAACCTGTTTGTTCCCAAGTACCATGATGTTTCAATTCTGCAGGTTCTGGATCTCTCGTCTTCTCTCTGTTCTCTCCTTCTGCTTTCAACTCCGATTCATTTCTGGTAGTTCTGCCAAAAAATAACATTTAATTTTTAATAGACATGATGTGAGATTAACGATAAATATTTCAGATTCAGAGAAATATGAATTGCGATTCAGTCTTCTAGCGATTCGCATTGATTCACAAATTTCAAAAATTGAATTTCTAGTTAACATAATACTAGTAATATGATGCCGTCGAACAAAACCCGGACAGTTTAGGGATCGCACACCTCACGAATAATATTATGTTAATTATTGTTTGTTTAGTGGTGGTTAAATGATGCCTTTTAAGACTTTCCTCTGACTGTTTCGGGAAAAGATTCAATGCTTCGAGAGTATCAGAAACAGCGCTATCTGGTGGCAAGTAAAAAATAAAGCAGCCAAAAGCCAATGAAAGAAGCTCCGTCGTACGAATTGATTCATGTTACATGCACAAATAATAACCTAACAGTGTGTGTTTGTGTTTATTGAATTTCTCTCTTTGATAAATTCATTTACCAATTAAACGGTGGCATGTAATGACAGTATGAATATAAGTGTGATGTAACAGAAGAATATTGTACAACATATGAATTGCATATGGCAAATATTTTATTTTTGAGAAATATTTTCTATTCTTTGTATTACTTGTAAGACTGGGTAGGCCAATTTAAGAAAAGGTAAGTGAGTAAGTCCGAATTAAGCTAGAATAAAACAGATTTTTTTTGTTTAAAACTCTACAGACTCCGGTCTTTATTTTGATGTATTGCATATTCAGATATTCATACAACAAAACATTCTGGGGGCAATGAAACTTTAACCCTCTTAGCGCCAAAGTCGCAAAATTGCGACAAGACGTCATACTTAATAAAATAGACTTTAGTTCCTAATAGGGCCTTTCGCACCGTGGGAACCTTTTCATAGTACCAGAACTAATTGTGGAACTACCCAATTTTTTGCGTTTTCACACCGCCGGAACTGGGTGCGATTTTAGCACCGGACTGCCTTTTTCGAGAACCAAATTAGCTCCTACTTCGAAGCAGGGTCTAACCAGCACAACTGGTACTAATCGTGACGTAAGTAGACATTGATTGGCCAAACGCGTACGAAAACGCCCTCACCCGCCATGATTTAAAACGCCGTGTAAACATACTGTAAACATTGTGAAGCCACAAGCTGTTGAAATCTTGATGTCAAAATCCAGCATTTTTCAAAAAATCCCTGGCGCCTAAAAGGTTAAATGCTCAAAAATGCTGGCGTTGGCTGGCAACATTTTTTAAAACGCTGACGGGGAACGAGTTAATTACAACTCAATACTTCATGACAATGTGAGACTTTTGAAGCAGATACCAAGCCTCCAACAAAATGGCCTGTCGTTCATCAAAGCTCTTCCACAGAAGACACCTTGTTTCTCAGCACATGAACATGAACTACTAACCGTGATCTCAGACTGTGGTGATCTGGTTTCTCCACTGCATGGATCTTCATGTGTATCTTCAGCTGACTTTTAGAAGTGAAACTCTTCCCGCACTGATCACACTTGTGTGACTTCTCTCTGCTGTGGATCCTCTCATGTGCATTCAGATTTGATGACACACTGAATGTCTTGTCACAGTGTGAACACTTGTGAGGTTTCTCTCCAGTGTGGATCCTCTGGTGCAGTTTTAAACAGTATGCTGTAGTATAAGTTTTCCCACACTCAAAGCACATGTACTCTCTCACATCAGCATGTATTTTCTGATGTACTTTTAAACTTTTCAGCAGTGAAAAACTCTTTGCACACACAGAACATGAATGCGGCTTCTCCTTCGTATGAACTGTCAGGTGTGTCTTCAGGTTTGATGACACGATAAATGTTTTGCCGCACTGATCACATGCGTGCGGCTTCTCTCCGGTGTGGATCCTCATGTGCATATTTAGATTTTGTTTGTATGTGAAACTTTTTTCACACTGGTCACACATGAACGGTTTCTCTCCTGTGTGGATTTTCATGTGTTCTTTAAGGTTTATTGATTGCGTGAAGCTCTTCCCGCACTGATCGCATGCATACGGCTTCTCTCCAGTGTGGATCCTCATGTGATTTTTAAGGTGTACTTTTTGTGTGAAGCTCTTCCCACAGTCATCACAAGTGAACGGTTTCTCTCCAGAGTGAACTCTCAAGTGACACTCAAGACTTCGCTTGAATGGGAAACTCTTCCCACACTGAGTGCAGGTGAAAGATTTCTTGGCTCTTCTTTTCTTTAAAAATGTATTTTTAGTCTTCGAGCGACTCGAAGGTTTTTCTCCAGGTTTGTCGTGATGTTTCTCCTCCACTTCACTCAGTTCTTCACTCTCCTCGCTCTCTTCCATCAGCTCTGAAATAAAAGAAAAAAAGTTTAATTTTATTTTCAGTAAATAAAAAAATAATTAAAAAGATAGAAATATGAAAGTCAGCACTAATGTAATAGCGGAAAGTAGACGACTGCTATAAAATATTATGATAATTCTGGTGCATTTTTATAAATTAATTGAACGATCAGATGCAAAACATTATAGGCACATAAGTGCATAAGTGTTGGAACAGTTGCCTCACAGGCCTTTCTAAGTGATCAGCTGTGTCCTGTTGCATTAATTCTTCAGATATTAAAAGCGTGGAATGTGTCGTATCAGTTATATCCATTGCTTCTGCATTCTGAGTCTTGCATTCGATGACGACACACACAAACCAGGATGAAGACGAGGAGGCTGACTTTCAGAGAAAAGCAAGCTATATACATACATACATATATTTACTAGATCCCGACCGATATATAATTTTGCCGATATTATCGGCCGATATGAGCCTGTCACCGATATATCGGTATCGGCGAACATGCCGCCGATATGAAATTTTTTATACAGAACATATAACGCAGATAAAATGCTTGAAATGGTGTAATTACGTAGTTTGTCAAGCAGAGCGTGCTCCATTGTTTGCTACTGGCGACCTGGATGAAACGCTTTAAAGCTTAGTCTATGGAAAACCATTGACATTTTGAACGGCCTTGTCTCCGTAACGGCGCGATGAATCAAGCAATCCCGGGGGGCTACCGACATGCGGAGGGTGGCGTTCGAGAGGGCTCCTCGAGCTGAAGAGATCCGCTGGCGCGTTCGCGAGATAGTGACACCAGTCAACACTTTCACTTCAGTAAGGAGGTCTCTTGTTCAGGCAGCATTCAAGCGTGGTCTTATTCGACCGCAAGCGCCCTGCGATGTGGGCTTCACATGATATTCCGCCATGATTCCAGTTCCAAGGGAACGTACATGTTACATTCAAAGGGCATTAAAGTGCACGAGACATTAATTTATATTGTATTTATTTACAGAGGTATATTATGTCACACTTCACTAGTAAGTTTCGTCTGTGTGTGAAGACAGTAGCGCAAATCCATGAATGAATGTTCCGAAGTGAAATAAATTTAATTAAACTTGAATTAAAGTTGAATAAACTTCAACTTTACTGTTCAGTGCACTGATTTCAGACTCATTTTTGGATAATAAAGTTTATTGTTAAATGCCCTGCCTCCATTACGTATCTCTGTCACGTCATTATAAGTGTTTCATCACCACATTTGAGTGATCATTGCAAAAAATGTGTTTATGTATATGTATTCTGTTTATGTATATACAGTATTCTATATATAGTAACAGTCAAATGTGTGGACCCTCGGAATGGGAGAGTGTCCAAACTTTTGACTGTACTATAATATACACAAACAATATTGACCGATATATCGATATCGGCCTTTTTTTACTCCCTAATATCGGTATCGGGCCCAAAAAACCCATATCGGTCGGGCTCTAATATTTACATTTAGTCATTCAGCAGACGCTTTTATCCAAAGCGAATTACAAATGAGGACAATAGAAGCAATCAAACCTAACAAAAGAGCAACAACAATATATAAGTGCAAATGACAAGTCTCGGTTAGCCTAACACAGTACACGTAGCAAGGAATTTAT